TTGGAGTTGCGCACAGGCCAGAAACAACCTTCAGACACCGGGTGAGGAGACCGAAAGACCTACCACCACGGCAGGAAACGATGGAATGGTTTACCGGATATGGTGCACTTGTGGACAATGCTACTACGTCAGAGATACCGGGAGATTACTCCGGACACGAATGGCCGAGCATGCAGCGGTCGTGAAGAAGAAAGACGCCAACTCCCAGGTTGCAGCTCACTTGAGGGAACCTTCCATATTTTCAAGTTTGACGAGGCCAAAATCCTCGCAAGAGGTGACAGCCGCGTGAGCCGCGAGCTGTTTGACTCATGGTTCTCAGGCCCCCAGTCCATTAACAACCGCAACAATTTGGGGTTTACCTACTGTGTACTGAGACATTTCCTGAGCAAGAGAATCAGTCACGTGGGAAGGGCCGGGCCCAACGACAACTCTGACGACAGCGAACATAATTGTCACGCAATCACCAAGCCCGCATCCGACAAGGACAAGGAAATTGCGGCAATTAGTGAGTCAAACGCGAAGTACCAAACCGTCATCGCACCAATTACGACCCCAAGCGGTGGTTACAGTAGAAACTGATTACAGAACGCACGCGGATACCCACTTTGAGCTCTAAATACCGTGCAATCTGTGGATGTTTCACCCATATCTGCACATGACTCAGACTACGTTACTTACGTATGATTAAGGATTCCCGACGGAATCCGAAACGTCAGGAGAGTACAATTCTTGTTCCAATGGTCGCACATTTTTCTTCTGAACTACTTCCTGGAACTTGGCAAACGACTTACTATACCTGGAATATCTGAATTTAATGCATCTAAGCCTAATACGAATATAGAATAGCATCCGTTCTGTCAGCTCTAAGGAGTGTGAATTTTGTGGATAGGCGGTTAGAAGGCGACCTTAAAACTGGGTCAAAGAGGCAACTGTGAGGAAATTATTAGGAGATAAATCAGGGTTGGAGAACTGTTTCCTGCTGGACGGAAATGGCCCTAAGCAGGTTTGACAGCTGAAAATGACGTTTAAGAAACAAAGACTACCACAGAGGAGGTGCCTGCGACTGAATTCTGCTAACAGTTATTTAAGTCCCTATCTTAGAGTTAGAACATTAAGACCAGTCATAAACTATTCTCCCCTATGGCCAATTCGGATACGCACTTACATTGGGGCCATAATGTTTGTCTTTCACTAAAAGACTGTCAAATCGAGCCGGCCGTCCTACAATTTCAAAGGAGTGTGAATGATCCGCGGTCACAATGATCAGCGTCTCCTCCATGTTCACCATTGATACAGCTTTATCTACTGCTTCACTCATTTCCACAAGTTCAGTGAGGGCATGTCTGTAATATGAAAAAAATGGAACGATGTTAGAAAATAAAAGTAAGCAGAACATTTGGCGGACATTAAGGCATGGCACTTGACTAATGTAGAAAGCCTAGGAAGTGATAAATACGGTTTTGCAATTGCCAATTCTAGAAATTATTATTCGCAAGACCAACGCACGCAGTAGCTTATATTAACTACAATTTTTGAATTATTAATTCATGAGTAAGCAATGGTTTTGGGTTATTCATCTCATGGCTGGTACCATGACATGAGAATAAAACGGCAGCGGGTATGGGGGGGGAGTGGTGAGTGGCTGTACTTCATCCTCTCGGTGTTCCCTCGTCCCCAACCTTCTGGCGCCATCGTGAGAACCACACCTCTGCGCACCGCATCCAAATTCCTCAACATGCTGGTGCCTGCATACATGAGATGCGGGAACACCGAGATGACTCAATACATTCAGCTCCCCCGCCTATCCCGAGGAACTTATAAGGACTGTACATAACTGACTGTTTTATTCACCATTTCATTAGACCTGCCTGGAGCCGAATGACCGAAAAAGATTGTTCGTCCATACGACTTGTCAATCGTACAACTGGAAATTTTGCAGAGGTCAGATGAGGCGACTTTTAGTTAGACTATGAGGGAGGTTTCTTATCGTGCGTTTCTAGAGAACAATGGCGTGGACATGATGAAGCATTTCAAACAAGTCGTGCAACAGCGTTTGTTAGAAGTCCTTTAGCACAATCCAAACCGTCTACTGAAATCACTTACAAAAGTTTCTGAGGCCTACTGCGAGGTAACTAACAGAAATGTTCGTCTGGGTCGAACTCAAATGGCGGAAGTATAGTAAACGAAGGTAGGTGAGGAGTCTCTGCTGTACGCTCCTTATTCAACTCTAAGTGCACTTTTTTAAAGACAACAAACGTAGTGACTTTAACGCCTCAATAGATATAAATTAACTGCCATCGTGCTACATATAATACGATCTAGAATTCATGTTACATGCCGACATATGCGAAAAAATTGATACCCATTCGCTAATCGGCATTAAGTAAGGCTGGTATAAAGATTACGGTGTAGTCTATTCTGAAGTCATTTCCGTAACTATAGGATGCCAGCTTTTTAACGAGCTATTTTTTGAACGCCAACAAATTATATGTACTGCAAAAAGTTGTTACTTAAGTGGTAGGCATTTTTATCATTGATTTTGATGGCCTTTACCAAATAAAACATACTTTATGGAAAGCATGCACAAAAATAATTATTTCTTATACTAGGTTGGTAGAAATTACGCCTTCCTTAGATTTTACACTCAAAGAAAGGGTATCTTGCGGTTTTTAAACTGTTTCTAACTAGGCTCATTTTTACGACTGTGAGGTATAAATGCATTTTGCATCACATCCGACAATTTATTAATGCCACCTATAATCTTTACAGCATGTTCTTAACCTTTTGCAATGTTTTATGAAAACTATGTGACTCCTTCTTCAAACCATAGTCAAAAACGTAATTTTCCCCTAACATGATGTACACAGTGAGCAGTTTGTAAAACTTGACTTCTAGTGTAGCAGTTAGTAGGTTTCAAAATTATTCGGCAATTAAGAACCTTTTTTAGAACTACAGGATACCCTTCTTTTAAGTATAAAATTTGAAGAAAGCGTTATCTGCTACCAAACGAATACAAGAAATATTTTTTTTTCGTTTTTATTTTCCATAACAGATAGTCGAATTTATAAAGGCAGTCAAAATCCATAATAAAAACGCATAGTATTTAAGTAGTTAAATTTTACAGCATATGCCTTTTGTTAGTGGTCAGAACGAAGCTCGTAAGAACGCCACATCCTATCATGACTAAATTAATTTCGGAATAGGCTACACACTTATCAGGATCACAATGTGTGTCAATGCCGATTAACGAAAAAAGTATCAATCTTTCGCATATGTCGGCATGTTGCACGAACTCTGGCGCGTACTGCATACATATGTACAGCTCTGGTGATAATTTATCGAAAGATAAGGTATATTCACCGATTTATCTTCTGACATTTTCAATGGGAATTTTCACAAACTTTAAGGCCTTTGTTGACAGATATCTGCACTCACTTAGCTTTGTTATCATGGTGACCATGATCAATGCGACCGCCCTCGACGAAGAGGAAGAAACCATTGGGATTATGCTGAAGTATTTGAATCGCTTTCTCTGTGAGTTCTGGCAGTGTGGGTTCACCTGGCGTCCTATGCAGTACATAGGGCAGGTGTGATGGGTACAGTAGACCTATATAAAGAAATTATAACATACCATTAACTGCCGAACTCTGAGTTGATTGGACAAACAGTTTAGTTAAGCCAGAACTTACCCATGAAGTAGTCAACCTTAGATGTGTCAACCGCTTTGTATGCCTCTATAGTGCCGGCATACGCTGCTTTTCTGCCTTTGGCTAGTTGGGCCTTTAACCACATATCGGTAAGATCCTTCCCATCCAGCCGTTCGTTTTCATCCGTTGCCAGCTTTGTAGTGTTTGGCAAGAATTTTGCCCGACCACCGCCCAGAATGACGTTGACGTCCAAATTTTCGAGAGCCAGTTGCTGAGCCAAATCCACGCAGCTACAATCCGTTTGACAATCCTTTTGTACGTCCCTTAAAACAAGCAATGCAGAATTTCTAAGTCCAATTTTTAAAATGAAACTTTTTTACCCGTGCTTTTAATTAATCTTGGAGTATAGTTACGGGAGATGCATGCGAGTTATCCGACGGTCGAGATATCAATGTAGTCACTAGTATGAAAGCCGCGTTTTTGAGCAGTAATTAGAAAATACCAGACAAGAAGTCATCTGGATAAGGAAGAAGACGTATCGAGAACGTCTTTTTCCTTATCCATGCAGATACCTGGAACGCGAACTTTTTTCATTCATTCAAGAATTCATCTGTATATCTATACAATAGGATGACCATTTTTATTTTGCTGGTTGCGTCAGAAAAGAGAACATCCTACTCATGTGAGACACAATAAGCGACTCGATAACTGATAGAGAATGCACACCTTTTGCTATTGGCATATCTCAGTATCAGTATCAATTTATTGAGGGATATGTAGGTAAATTACCTTTGAGTTCCCTATTTGTACATGTGTTTCGGGGTAGCAGAAAAAAAGTATCTCAGATTGTTGGCAAGGCCAATGGTTCCGAGTCATGAGTAAGTAAAGTAAGGTGTGATGTCAAGTAATGGCTTTGGAAAATATTAGATTTTTCGAAAATATGCACCACGGAAGAAGCCCAGGTCTCAGTATTTAAAGAAAAAACTTGATCTCAGGAGTATATTTCGAATAAGTGACACGGTAGGATATTTGATATTTATTGTTTTATGATGTCCTTTGCAGAACTCTCTTGAATACAGTTTGCATAGTCAGCCTTGCTGAGGGGACTGCGTCTGAAGCTAGTGCAGCGGATTGCATAGAACGTACTAATCAGCGGCAGAAACGTACTGTTGAAACATAGGAGGGACAAATAAATGACACTTTCTGGCTTATTGGTATATAGAGAAAAACAATCTTTAAAATCCAGTGACTGGCTGGGGATAACACAAGAAAAATAATGACCACCTGCATTGTCACTCAGTAAATTGCTATTTTAGTTTGTTTTTGTAACTTTTTAGTTCTTCAGGGCATTGACTTGGATTCTAAAAATTTTTTTCCCAGCATGCTTTCAAAATAAAGCTACGCGCCTGGATTGACACAGCCAGTTGACATAACTAAAATCCTGCCAAACCTGTCAAAATATGAAACTCAGCAAAGACTGCGGCAACGGCAAAGATGGTGAAAATATATTCGCTGTGATAGTTAAAGTTTGAATATTTCGCAACTTTTTTTCAAAAACACGAAACCATATAGTTTGCAATCCTTTCTTAGAAGAAGAAAAGTCGTTTTCTGGGACCAGGAGTGTATTTGTCCGACGTTTCGAACTCTCCC